TAGCAGCAGGACACGGGGTGGCAAGAAGTAGCTCTTGGCTTATGCAGAACACTGTACAAACAGTAACAAAGCTGTTAGCTTGAGATTTGCACCCTGTGGCCCCCATCTGCCACTTCTGAATTTCAGCATCAGTGTTCATGGCTTTTATCTTTCTTCCAGCTGTGCCAAGTGCTTGAATTCCCAGAGTCTGTACTGGCTAAGCTGCTCTAGGGCTGGCACTGTTAGCCCAGGAGGATAAGTAGCTGACCCTACAGTCAGTGGAAGGCAGCCAGGTTCAGAGGTAGGAGCTGTTTGCTGATGAGCAATCAACCTTGTCTCTTGCCTGTCTTTGGTTTCACCTTGTAATAATTCATGTATTCTACTATTAGTTCTAATGGAGGAATATTTCTCTTCCTAGTGATATTATTGTCAAGCCATGTTATTTCCCATGTTTTATTTCTTTTCAGTGGTTTTCTCTAACATGGCATCTTTTGCACATTAAAAGCAGGATCCAAGTACAGAAGGACACCCTCTGTCCCCCCCATATCTCAGCGCCGTGTTATTATTGCTTGTGTTGGCTCTCCTGGCAGCCCCATCTGTCTCCATCACCTCTTGTCACCTTTCATAGTAATTTCTGCTGATTAGCAAAGCCTTTATCACCTGAGGCCCTTTGGCAGCCACATTCAGCCAGCAGTTCTGTCACGAGTTTCTACTTAAGTCCTTCCCCCTCCCACCAGTGGAAACAGCATGAATCATTTCCCTCCCCTTTCTTTGTCAGGAGCAAATGGCATCAGTGTTAGGACCCTGGCACTGGCTCCCTGACTCCAGGAAATCATGGGTGAAACAATCCATGGAAACTGGGATCCCCATGTGAAAGCAAGACATTATTTTATGAGGAACACACCTCTATTTTGGCCATTGTCCGATTGCCATCTGGTTGACAGTCACACGTACGTCCATGAGAAACACAAAGTTGTTCTTCTATCCCATAGTCTTGTGTAGTTGAGTTATATGTTTTACATTGCAAGGTGGCAGTGCATATTTAAATGCACCATTTGGGATTTATATTGCATGACAGGTGTGTGAGACGTTTGTGGGGCTCTGGCATGGATTTCACAGCATAAACAGGTTGAGGAGTCATCTCTGATTGCACATTTACACTTCTTTAGTGTATAAAAGTAAGAACAGCTATGCATAAGCAGTAGAACCTTCATAAAAATACTTTAGCCACTAAATGGTGTTAGTTACACTGGGGGAGGCTGCTTAGCCCAAAAGGAGAAGCTGTAACTGCACCTTATAAGTAGACACTGTAGGAATTCAATCTGAAGTTGAATACATTGCTTGACAGTTTGCATGCAGAACTCATACCTCTCCAGTTCTTGGGTGAAAAGAGGAGAGAACTGACAGCACAATAACAGAAACATCAAGAGGTAGAAACAAGAGCCCTTTCCTGCTTTTAGGAGACAGCTGACTGACTCCACAGCTGTAGTTTCTATAGTTGGAGGCAGCAGATGTCTTTATAAACATAAATCAGATGAGACATTATAGTATTTTTAACATACCTATTTGTATTCAGGCTGTCCATTGTCGAGTATTTATCGTATGGTTTGCCTCTCTTAGAGCCCTGTGAAGTGCAATGACTGCTCGAGGTGGAAGATTAAATGTGAACATGCACTTGTCCATCACCCCTTTTACATTGTGTTTGGGCACTTCCTAACTTCTGACAGAGAGACTGGCAGTGTTCAGAGGATACCTTCAAGCTTGCAGACTCAGCAGCTGCCAGTCTGGCGGTCTCTGAGTCAGCTTTCTTCTTCCCACTCTGTGTACCCACTGTGTGTATGGGAGGAAACCAGGTCCTATGGGAGAAGAGGTGTGTGGTCATGGAATTAAAGGCTACATCTCTATACACACAGATGAAGGGATGAGTTAAGATGTCCCCCACAAAGTTAAACCTGATACTTTGCCTCTTATCCACATTAATTTCCTAGGAATAATATTTTCTTTAAAGAAAAAAGGATAAAAATAAATATTGTCATCCTGCATTGGCAGCAGGACTGGAGCCCTATTTCTTCCTCACGTCTCTCTTTCCCAGTGCTGCTGTCTGCTGAGTCCTTCCTACACACGTTCTCTTCATCTTTGACCTGGTCTGAGCCTTGTGTGTGGGTAAATGAAGGTGGTATATGAGGTAGTGCTGTCTTACAGCCCATAGCTTCCAAGTCGAGCCTGAGGTAGGGCTGTGGTGCCTGAGGAGTGTTAGAAGAGCTGAAGTAAAATTCATTTTGCCACTAAGGGAGGAAGCAGCTCTGGATGTACTAGCATATAAGCAGGCCCCTTCCTTAGAGATGTGGAAACTACCCAGAGGAAAAGCCAAGCAGCACGCAAAGCAGCACTCCGCCCTTGCAAGGAAATTACCCATTTAGAGCCACCGCAGGACTTCCCGCTTCGCTTCAGTGCTGCTCAACGTGCTCCCATCCGCTGCCTCCCCAAGATTTCCTTTCTGGGGGCTCTTGCAAGCCTTAACTCTGCTCTCTGCTTGCTGCTTGTTGCTTTGTCTCACTAACAGGGTGATCCTAGCTATCTTGTTAGTCAGTGCTTTCCCCTGCCAGGGGTCTGCATCCAGCTGCACCCCCTGGGAAAACGTAAAGGAGCACACAGCCCTGAAGAAATGGGAGAACTTGAGGGAACAGTAGGAGCTCATACATGGTCTGTGGTGTTTCCTGCTGTGTGGTCACAATGGATTCAGCCAAGCTTCTGCTGGCATAGCCTTTCTTCCCAGAGAAGGGGCATTTGGAGCTGGGCATTTGGGAAACCTTCCCTCCTTAGCGATGTGCCCAGCAAAGAGGCTTCTTTGCCCAAGCATCCCCATATTTGCCTGGTCAGGGTCCATCCCCACTGCCCATCAGAAGAGGATGTGCTTTCTGACCATCCTGGTTTCCTTCTTGTTTTGTTTTTTTTTCTTGGCAATGCTGATCTGAGTTATTTGGCCTTCTCCAGATCTCAATTCTCAATGCTGTGGATCGGGCAGCCACAGATCTGCCCACAGCCCCTGCATAGCCTTTTCTAGTTTTCAGTAGAAGTGTGAAAATTCCCTTTTTCTGAGGGATAAAAATGGAAGCACCTCCTGGGCTTTGCTTCATCCTAACACCGCAGTCATCCTGATATTTTCCATATCCATTTAAGGACTGAATGAAGACTTATCATATCCTGGGGTCTTTTTTGTACTCTATGTTTAATATAACGTTCTTTATTATATTTATCTTGTTTCTTATGTCTGAGACTTTCATTTATTATGTTACTTTGAAGACTGGGCCTCCCTGTAAACTGTCTTTTTAGGAAAATTGAGTCACATTTGCAGTAGAGCTTTAATGTGTTCAAGTCTTGGGTTCCCTTATGTTTTTATATGGTCACCAGTTCTACTTTTGACTCGTGGCTTGAACTGAAAACAGAAAAGCCAAAAAGTGCAAATGTTTCCAAAGTGTCCCTTATTCTTTGCAGTGTATTTATAAAAGTTGCAAAGAAATGCAAAAATCTCCCACAGCAGCATTTCTGGAGGAGGGAAGCAGTCTGTTCTCTACAGTTACCCCATGCCCCCTCCTAGGAAAAGAGCCTTACTGCAGTTATGCAGTACAAGTACATTGTGATCCTGGAGAAACTAAGAAATAATTTGTAAGAAGGGATGGTTCTACTCATTTATTGGGAGTAGAAGCGAGAAAGAAGCAAAGTTTTGGTGTATCCAACATCAGGCAGTGCAGGGAGGTGGGCACGTAGCAACCACTGCTTAAATCACATAAGTGTGGGTGAATGTCTCGGATGTGTATTGAAAGTTTCCCATGTGCTCTTACCTGCAGGCATCACATCCTACAGGGATGGCTCAGCGCCAGCCTTGTGGTGAGATAACCACATGGAACCAGAGAGATTGGTGGCACTCTGAAATGATGACTTCAGAGGACAAACCGACTGATGGGTTTGATCCTGAAATCAACTCTGATAAGGCACAAGTTGTCTTGTTTGGGACAAAAGGCTTTAACAGATTACAGAGTAGCAGCCAGGACAAGGAAAGGCAAACAGAAGGGGCAGAGCGTGGGAGGGTGCAGAGCCTCTGTTACCGGGCTGTTAAAGGCAACGGTGTCATTTACATCTCAACTTCTGTAACCATGACAAAATCGAAGCCACATATTCAGATTTGGAATCTGATTTCATCTCGTAGCCCATTTTCTTATCCCACCATCTATGGATTAGTATCTCACTTGCCTGCTGGCAGAAGTAGTTTGGATCAGGAGGTGGTATATATGCCTGCGGTTTTTTTTACATAGACATTTTATGGATTAAATAATGCTGGCAGATACTGTTTCTGCACCACAAGGATAACATATAATTTATTCTTGTCTCAATACATTAAAAGAAATATAGCACAAAAGAAAAAAGGGAAGAAAACAACCAAAAAAGGATATGAAGATAAAATCCCTTAGAGCCAAAAAAATACCAACTCCATGACATCCTTGTATGTGGGGAAACTGAGCTCCTCGATTATTTTGATAAACTTTGTTACAAGTAGTATAACACAAAACCCAGCTATTTGTTTAATCTTAGCTGACTTGCAGAAATGTCATCCATTAAGGATGCTGAGGTTGTTATTTTTTCACTTTAAAGAACAAAAAAAGAGCTTGTTTGTTCTTATTATTTGGTTTCCCTCTGTAGGTTTATAAGCTATCTGTCACCCAAACCTCGTTCCTTGTGCACTGCTGCTCTGTGTGCAAGACTGGATGCAGTGCCATGGGAGGAGACTGGGTAGGCAGCAATGGGGTTGTGATGGAGCATTAAATCTCAACATGCCAGAGCAGTACCATGGTGGAAGTGACTCATAATTTAGTATCAATGTGCTCCAGCATAACACCAGCACTGAACAGTCACCAAATGTTATTTACACTATTTGCAAAGTAATGTAAAAACATACAGCTATTTGCTATCCAAAGTGGAGGTGATGTTCCTAACCTCCCCCCTATTCTCTGTTTCCTTCTCAGGTAAGATCCTGTTCCGGAGGAGCCACGTCCGAGATGTAGCTGTGAAGAGGCTGAAGCCCATTGACGAGTACTGCAGGGTAAGGAGCTCCAGGGGAGGGTGGAGAAGAGCTTCCAGGTGGCTCACAGCCATCAGCTGCACCATACCTTGCTCCATGTTCACTACCAAGAGTTTCATCTGTGTTGAGCCCATCACAAGGGGGGGGAGGTCTTCTTTAAACAAATACAGTCCATCCCAAACACCACCAAGATTAATGAAGCAGCTGTGCTGCCCATCTGAAGCACCATGTTGGTGCCTTATTTAATCAGAAAAATCCATAAGCACAGTCTCTTCACATAAAAGCGGATTATATTTCTACTTCAGTCTTGATGAATGCAAGAGTTCAGTATGTAAAGAGGCATAACAAAGATGGCATTTTCTTCTTCCCCTGCCCGTCTGTGCTGCAGGAGGGAAATTTCAGGTTTGCGCAGCACTGGAGATGGACTGGCGGATTCCAGGGGTGTTTTCTTGTAAGAAGTGAAAGCCTGGAAATTTATGACAGGACAGAAAAGCCTGCTGTGTGGGAAAGAGGGTTGTGACCTGGTCTTTCCTTTCCAGCTTAGACGTCATGCTTCGATCATAATTGATTCTCTGACAGTAGATTAAAAGTTATTTCTACACAGGACTGATTCCCGACTTTTGGGGAGGTATTGAGCACGTCAGCGTATAATTTAAACCCCATGCTTCCTCTTTTCATTCCCATGGGGTTTTCTTTCCATTTTTAAAAAGTCAGAGGACCACGTGGAGGGGAAAACCTCTGTTCCCAGTCAGACATTTGCTCATCCACAATGCTGAGCAGATCCCTGCAGTGCCTGGGGCACACTGCAGGCAGCAATGACATGGCCCCAGCAAACCCCTGCCTTCTGCCTCACCCGGGCAAGGAAGCTGTAAGTGAAGTCTTATCACATGAGATCAGGCTTTCTACACAACAATTAACATGCTGTCTTCCTGCTGACGGCCAAGTGGCTGCTTCAAAATGGTCCCACCGCATCGCCAGCCTCCCTCCTTCAGACAGGAACTGCCCGCGACGCGAGCAGCCAGGACGAATGTCAGGGTTCACCCAGCAGATGCGTGGCAGAGAAAGCAGTGATTTACTTGGAGGGGAGCCCCTGCCCCAGGCTGGAAACTGCTTATCTGGGACCCTATTGTCTGTGCCCAGACGGCCCCAGCCCAGCACTGCCCTGTCAGTCACCTCCAAGGAGCGCGGCATCACAAAGCTGGTGCACATGGGTCTTAGTGGGACTGGTGAATAGGGTCATATCCCCCTCTTCAGCATAATTTCCTTTTTTTTCTACCTTTCTTTGCCTGTCCAGTGAATGTTTTGACTCATTAAGAATTGCACAGAGCTGTAGAGGAGGAGTATTGTCTTGAGAGGCTAATCCTGCTCGTCTGAAAGAGGAGCGCAGAACTTATGTCAGAGTCACAGAATGGCTTGGGTTGGAAGGGACTTTAAAGATCATCAAGCTCCAACCAGCTCTTGTGGGCAGAATTGTCCCATGCTGGTCCTAAAATGAGTAGGCAGACAACAAGCTTAATTTAAAAAAAAAAAAAAAAGGAATGATGTGGGTGTAGTTGATAGAGAAAATCTGATGTGAGAGAGTGAAATGAATACGTGGGACAAAAGGGCTTTGTCCACTGGAATCTGTGAGGATGTAGAGGAGTCAGGAAGCTTCAGATGCAAAGTTTGTGGTAATTTTTTTGCCAGATGAGGATTCTCTATCCACTTCACCTGAAAAGATGAAGCACAAATGAACCCTGGGAAACACATGGGGCAAATGTTCGACCATTTGTTGTTTTGTTGTCTCTGACAGAGCACAACAATTTGCATGGCTGAGAAGCACATCTGACTTCTGGTTTGATGTGTTGTGGCTCCTGCTGGGAGCATGGGAGCAAGGACAGGCAGGCAAAAGCTGTCCCACACTTTGTGGGACACTGGCAATATGGGGAGTCCTGCAAAAAGTATTGGCCAGCAGGATGGGCCTTGCGGCCCTGCAGGCCTGTTGGGTTCTTTGCTGCTGTGCGCCAGCTGAGGGCATGGCATCATAGAGATACCCAGGCCACTGCTTTTGGTAAAGCCTCAGGAAGCTTTAATGTTGTGATGAAAAGTGGAGTGGGACATACAGGGAAAGATTTCCAGGGCATTTCTCTGTAAACATGTGAAAGTGAGGGTCTGGATGTTGGAGTGAGCACGTAATCTGAGTGAGTTAGCAAACAAGCTCAGTTTTGCCTGTAAACATGTGCTGCCCACTGGAATTGATATCTGGATGATTTCCCTCCTAACTCTAGGCTTGGAATTAGCCTAGTGCAATTCAAGGTCTTCTGGGCTCCATGAGCCTGGGTTTCTTAATTTTTTTAGAGTTCTTGATGATGTGAAAGCAACATCAACTTCACAGCCTTGTCTTGCCAGGGGCATTTTATTTAGTAAGCTTCTGATCTCCCAAACACATCTCCTGGGTGTGCCTGTCCACTATGCGTCACCCTGTATGGAAGAAAGACCAAACCACCACGGTCTCCTTCCTCAGCCCTCTGGGAAGACCCAGGGCAGCATTGCAGGCTGGCATCTTTGTGTCAGTGCTGACTGAGGAAAGCATCTGTATGCTGGAGAGCTTTGAAGAGGTGAGTCCCTTTGTCATAAATACTTCAGTTTGTCACACGCTTTTATGCTGTCCCAGCTGGAGGTGGATTTATCTTGAAGCTTATGGGCTTTTCCAAACTGCCCAAGTGCACACCGCCTGAACAAAAATTAAATGAGCAGATTGCATCAACTCCAGGAAATATTAATCATTCTTTAATGAAAGTTTACAAGTTTATTCTTCAAAAAGGGAAAAAACATAATTGCCTCCCTCTTGATCTCTCAGTTCAGACTCTCTTTCAAGATTTTACCTTTCTCTAAGCTAGGGCTGAATTAAAATGAAATAGCCATTAATCCTGGTCAAGAATGGAGGGTTTAAGTGGAAAACTTTTGAACTTCATCAGTCATTTTTACCCTACCTTTCAGAATCCTGATGTGTTCAGACCAGATGCAGTAGTAAGAGTTAATTATTTGCAATATCTCTTCTGGTACCTGGTGTAGAACTTCACTTTCCAGCTTCTTATGGCCCTTTCATGTCAGAGCCCCTTCTATGTGTGAATCATTTCCAAAATTGCATCCTTTTTCCACCTCACCTCAATGTTTTATTTATTCTCACATCTCCCTACTTCTCCAGTCTGAGTCACTGCCATGCACTCTTCACCCAAGTCTCTAGCATGGTAGAATAGAATCACAGAGTCGTTTGAGTTGGAAGGGACCTTTATGGGTCATCTAATCCAACTGTCCAACTCCCTTCCAGTGAGCAGGAACCCTTATAGCTCTGTCAGTGTTTGCCATCCGGCCTCCACAATTCATTTGTTTGGGTTTTAAGCTTTGAGGAAATGTGAGGCTCTCAACAAAACAGATGCAAAAAGTATTTTCAGGTAAGTAAAATTATTTTTCAGTTCTGAGAAGTGAACTACGGTAATTGCACTTTCCCTCTTGGTGAACTCATGACCATTCCTAAACATCTGCCACAACCAATTATTGTTAATTAGGATGATAAGCAGTTGAGAACAGGATACTTAATATGAAAAGTCAGGGAGCCGTAATCATGCAGTAGTCAGCTGTCTCTGTGTGCGGAGCTGGGATTAACCCCACTGAGCCTAGGGAAACCGGGTGCCTGAACCCTGTGCATGAATCACCCCCCAGAGCTGGGTGTTCCCAATAGGGCAGATAGATTCCCCCCCAAGAGTGCTGGCCCTCCACCAATGGTTGTATAAGTGGTTAAGCAAGTGCAACCAGTCTCCAGTTTTAGACACAAAAGGTTGCATTAAATGCAACACACAGCACTCAAGGCACGCTTAAATACGGCGTGTTTCTTTACCCATGTGCAAAATGCATTTTAATGTCATCAATTCCCACCGTGCAGTTTGCAGTCCACGTGACCTACAGCACCGAGCCCCAGCCTGAATCCCGTGCTGTGCTTTGCTGTGGGTGCTGTGTGAGGCAGACAGCCGGTCGTGCTGGATGCCAGGGGCTGATTGCTAACGCCCTGCCTGACGTGACAGCTTTTCTAATAGCTTTTCCAATCACCTGCATCTTCATGAGGCTGTCTGAAACCTGTAATATAGAGAGACAGACATCATTACAGGCTGAAATAGCACATAAAAGCATATCTTCTGAGGAGTGTGTGAGGTCTAAGCACTGCACGTCTGCCTTCGCCTGCCAAAGAAGGAATCTCACTGATAACACTCGGCAGTGGTGCAAGGATGAATTCTGCTCACTGGCACTTTTTATCTCTCACCTTTCCTGTGCAAGTTCCTTGTTGTTTCTGGATGTGTGCTGTTTGTAACTGCATGTATTTACCTCTGTTTTCTGCTTACCAGGAAGAATGTCACATCCCTATCCTTTCCATCCTTTTACCATCTGTTTTCCTCTTCTCTCCTTGACCTCGCAGTCCTGCCTTCAGCCTGCTGCAGCTCTGCCTGGAGCCATTTTGCTGGAATGTGTATTTGCCCAAATGTGTATTTCCCCCTTGCAGAGGAGCAGAGATGTTGCATATGTCCTCAATTATTGGCTGTAGACTTACACCTGAGCTCCCCAAAAATGTGCGATGGCAGGTTATTATCAGGTGGATTTCACTTCACTGGGCTGAAAATCACCCTTGGAGGTGATTCTGCAGCGTGAGAGCCAGCTGTGCCGCAGGGCCACTGTGTCCCCAGGGTTTGTGAGCTGGTGGCTGTGTGTGGAACAGCTTCAGCTCTTTGGTTCTTGTCCACCACTCTCTGCCTGGGAAAGAGAAAAGCCAAGGAGGGCCTTTTCAGTTAGAATCATAGAATCATCAAATCATCTGGTTGGAGGGAGCTCTTAAAGGCCATCTGGTCCAACGCCCCTACACTGAACAGGGATACCTACAGCTCCATCAGGTGCTCACAGCCCCATCCAGTCTGATCTTGGATGTCGTCAGGAACGGGGCACCCACCACGTCTCTGGGCAGTCTATGACAGTGCCTCCTCACTCTTATTGTAAAAACTTCCTCCTTATATCCAATCTAAATCTCTCCTCTTTTAGTTTGAAACCAGTTGTCCTCCTGCAGCTCAGCATGACCACAATTCTCACCTTAATGCTTCTGGAGATTTCCGAACAGGCGACCACCAGGTCAGAGGGGTCAGATTTCTTAAAGCTTCCATTGATTTAGAAACATAAAACAACACAGCCACTTGCTGGTGTGCTCCTACATCACTGAAAACCCACTCTGTGCTCTGATCCAGTACTGACATCTGTAGCCTGCTTTTTAGGAAGGGCAAATACCTGCAACATGTAGGGAAGTGATGTTTCTTTGAGAAGGTGTCTGATGTCCAGGACCCCCTGTGATACATTTAACTTGGGTGTTTATGTTTCTCTAGTAATGATACGTATCATTTGCTGTTGGCCCATTGACTGCACAAGATCAAGCCCTTAGAGATTTCAAAACACACTGTAGATATTAAATATCTGAGCCCTGTAACCTTTCAGCAGATTAGGAAAGTGTTATTGCTCAGCATTTTAAATGGATAACAGAAGATATATCCCTGCTGAATTTCATGGAATGAGGTTAAGTAACCTGTCCAAACCGAGAAGGGCGTTAGTAATGGAGCCAACAATGGATCTGGGCTCCATACACTGGTCTTCAGATAGCAGTGCTGCTCTGCATAAGTCTAGCTCCTGGTTGGGATTCAGCTGAATAAAACGTGCTTCAGTGTTTGAGGTGGTGCAGCGTTTCTCTTTCAGCATGCCATAATCGTTCCCTGGGCATTTGCTGGCTTCCCAGGGATTATTCCTGTTTACATGCACCAGGAATAAAGGCAGAGAGCTCACACCTTTCTTACACTGTTGAACAAAACAGCAGGATTGAGTGGACAGCAATGGAGGCTGAGGTGTCTTTCATTCAAAGTAGAGGACTTCAGTTTTCCATCTCTTACACTTGATCCTGCATTAGCTGCAGGATCCAGCAGTGCTGTGTAGCCATGCCCAGCTACTGCCAGGCTTCTGCCGCTGATGCTGCTTCCTTGAAACAAGGTGTTTTTTTCTGCTCTATAGAACAGTTGCTTGTGACCAAAAGTCAGCTTCTCCTTCGTAGGCTTGCTGATATCACATGAATTTTCCCTGCATTTGTATAGTATCCCTCAAGCAGGGAAATGTAAGCTTTAGACCTGGAAGCACTCATCTTGTAGTTTCAGGCCACCTCAAACAGGATCAGGTTGCCTAATACTGGAAACTGCTGCTTCAGATTAGGGTTTTTATTCAGGGGGACTGTTTTCCTTGATGGCCCCAAGCAGCAGTAGTCTTGGAAACAAATTTGTTCTCTTCTGAAGTTTGCCTAGAAGCAGACATGTTAGCAGACTGCTCATCCTGCTTTCATGCTTTGGCTGGGCCTCCTTGGCTGTCTGACCAAGATAAAGCAGATGTCTCATGAGTTAGTATAACCAGTTTGCCCTAATGCACCTTCATTTAGCTGTGCTGTAGTTTTTCATCCATCTCTCAAGATTGTTTGTCCTACTTCCAACTAGCAGATGAGCCAGGCAATCTCATTTTGTCAAATGGGTTTACAGCACTTCTAAGAAGTTTGGTCTATATTTAACCCGTGGCCTATTTTCACCATAACTTAGCACAGGGGAAGGTTAACTCCAGCTTCTTCTCCTCTCCTAATGGTCACTTCTGCAGTAAATCTCAGAATTATGACACGTGAAGCTGCTGTTTGTGGGCTAGGAATGGCTGCATGGCTTCCTTGGGCATTGTCAGGATCTATAGCCTGGGCAGCAAATTCACAGCATGACTGTGCCTTGTGTGCTTGTCTCACCAGTTTCCAGTCCACTTCCACGTTGGAGTGGTTCTTCCCCAATTATACTCACTATTGCTGAGTGTGACAAGTGCTGCATATCTGTATCTTGCAAAGCGTATGGACATTGTTAGCCAAGGCACACTGCAGTGAAGCTGCCTTTGTGCAGAAATACCCTTCAGGCCTCTTTTTTTCTTTTTCTTTTCTTTTTCTTTCTTTTTTTTTTTTCTTTTTCTTTTTTTTTTTTTTTTTTTTGCAGGCAATTAATCAAATTCCTTTCCTATTAATTTAGGAACAAGTTGTGTGCTTTTGTTTGTTTGTTTTCTAGCAAACTCTGCTAAAACAGAAAAATGTTGACAGTGCTAAACAGAAAGCTTTATGGGGAACATTAATCTATTGTATGAGTAGGTGTTGAGTCTGCAGATTTTCATTGCTTGCATTTGTATGCATTGACTTAAGAGCTCCTAAACCCTAGCCACACTGCCTTGAGGTACTGTGCAAACCTGTCACAAAGTCCCTGCCACATAGTACTTAATCATTTCAGTGTCATGCTTTTGCTCACATGGTCCGAATCCCACTCTTGGACACATAGCAAAAAGTGACATTGGCCTACTCTAGGTACTATCACTTATCTGAATTCATCACTTCCTACTTGACATTTGCAGTCAAGTTGTGCAATTCCCTTTTTTCTCAGATAAGTAGCTGGACCTGATGCTTTCCTTTTCTATTTCCTTCCCCCTGCCATGATTGTTTTGTTACTTCTTGCTTAGTAGTTTAAATACTTGAGGCCGTGTTTTTAAGTTGGCTTTTCTAAGTGCTTGTCCCTCCCTTTTGATTCCCTTTGCAGGCGCTGGTTCGACTTCCCCCTCACATTTCACAGTGTGATGAAGTCTTCAGGTTCTTTGAGGCTCGCCCAGAAGACCTCAACCCTCCAAAAGAGTAAGTGCTGCATGCATTTCCACTTCTTCTTGGTTGACTGGAAGAAAGATGAAGGTCATTCACTTAAATGCTACTGTAAGTGTGAGAACAGATTTTGTAGCTTTCAAGCAGTACCTCAGAAAATGCCCAGCAATTATGTATAACCACTTGGGTGTGTGGAGGACAGAGAAGTCAAGCAGCCCTCAAACACATTTTTCAGTCACCCCCACCCACTTTTGCATTGTTTCTTGCTGATGCTTCTAATGAGGGAACCTCCCCTTGCTTGTGAGTTTTACCTGATAATTGTCACCAAGGACTCATTTAGTTGGGGAAATCCTGCCAGTAAGTACTTAGCTAATAATTACCAGCTGCTTCTTTAAATGTACTCCTGCCCACTTTAAATGTACTCCTGCCCTCCCTTTAGTTATCTGAAGGGAGCAAGATTGTGGTCCAAATCCAAAATCGTCTCTGGAGAGCCTATTCTTTCTAAGCAGGAAGCTAAGAAAAAGGCTGGGAAAAGAGTTTCCATTGAATACAAAGCAGAATCGTAGCCTTTACCTTGGAATAGACAGGCTGATTCATGGTGATATTGTCACAGTTCAAAGAACTAATTTATCCAGTGAAAGCGTTGGCAAGAGAGTATTTACAAGCAACTGTGCTGCCTTGCATGATATTTCCTTTTCTCCTGTATAATAAGCAGGATATATTTTGTTGTGCTCTTCATAATATGTTTTGACTTGGTCCCATTGTGTTTTGTGCAGCTTTGTGGCATGATCTGAAATCTGATTGCAGGCAGTATTTCTGTAATTTGGTTTCACCTGTATTAGCACAGCCCAGTAATAATCTCAAAATCACGGAATCGTTAAGGTTGAAAAGACATTTAAGATCATCTAGTCCAGCCCCAACCCATCCCCACCATGCCCACTAACCACATTCCTCAGTGCCACTCTCCATAGTTCTTGAAAAGCCCCATGGATGGTGACCCCACCTCCTCCCTGGGCAGCCTGTGCCAATGCCTCCCACTCTTTCTGAGAAGAAATTTTTCCCAATACGCAACTTAAGGCCATTATCTCTCTTCCTGTAGACTCACAGAACTGTTAAGGTTGGACAAGGCCTCTAAGATCATCTAGTCCAATAGAAAATGGATATAAAGTTTGAGGGGGTTGTTTGTTTGCCACTTTGGTGCCTGCTGTACCTGTAGATAGCAGAAAGCTTTCCATTGACTTCAGCTCTCTTATGTTGGACCTGCAGCTGTGATGTTAGTGTAGAGGAGGGGACGTTTGCAGCTTGGTTTCCAAACTGTCTCTGTTGCATATGCATGGCTTTGATCATATTGGCATTTGTTCTGAAGCAAGTACTGCTAGTGCAGCTGAGAGCAAAGTCTTTTTGTTTGTGAAATGAGAAAAGGAGCAGCTTTAAAATGAAAAGTCCGCAAAAATAGCTGCTCTTTTTTTCTTTCTAGACAGGCTTGCTTTGGAGAAATTTCTGGGGTGAGTAGAAAAAATGAAGTTGCGTGTTCATGATTAAACATGTGCTGCAAACTCAGAAGGTGTTGCAGCAGGGTGTGTCTACGCTCTGGAACCTACAGACCGTCATGATTTTCATTTAAGTCTGGTAGAGAAAGTTTGCAGAGATTGTTTAATTCCACAGATTCTGTCTGATGCAGGGAGACATCCACATGTTCTAGACAGAATCAGATCCCAGAGAGGGAGTAGGATCTCCACGGTTAAGGAGAGGTTGCCTGGAGGATCACACATGGACCTCAGGAATCTGCATTTAACACTGTTTAACACTCCAGCCTGCTTTCTGTATTGATTCTGAGCCTGTGGCATTAGGTCTGAGTAAAGCAGAGTCGGGACTGAACCTTACGGGCAGGGCACTGGCCATTATGGCTTTCTTTCTCTTTTCCTTCCTACATTTTGTTGAGGGCCTTTTGCTGAGCTCCCAGTTCAATGGCATTGAAGCAGTTTTCAAGTTACCCATTTTCACACCCTAGGAAAAACAAAAAAGCCTAAATTTTCTCAGCCCAGGCTTTGCAACTTATTCCAGCCTGGTAATAAGTGTGATTTATTTCCCTGGAAAATGTAGAGCAATAACCTGATTAAATCTCACTTCACTAATGTCTGCAAGACATTAATCTAGCTGGGTTTAAACAAATCCTACCTCGTCTTCTGTAAGCAAACAGATCTTAGGGAAGGTGTCTAAGGTTTCTGCTGGGAGCGCTTCACAAAAGATGTATTGTTGAAACTGAAGATTAATCTCTACAAAAAAGATGATGTAAAAGCCAATGGAAACATCTTAGTGTTTTTCTTCTGTGGACTGAGGAGGGATGGAGGAGGTGTGGGGCTCACTGGACCTCTGCGTAGGGTCCAGGAGAAGGGAGACTGTCAGACTCTGCACGAAGGAGTGCAGTCCGACAGAGAAATCCCTGATTCATTCCCTTGCTTTGTACTCTGCCAAGCCACTTCAGAAGGAGCAAGCCAGCACTGCCTGAGCCCTGTGAAATCAGCCCTCCCTGGACCTCACTCACAGCCCCATTATCTCACTGGGGTGGTAGGGGGTAGCCTGAGGGCAGCATCTTGGATACCAGAATTATTTTCTCTTTATTCAGCTGCTTCTTTTAGCACTCAGTGTGGCGATTGTTCATGCAGTGACGATGTAGCATGCACATGGCACCCAACTGGCTGTGTTATAGGAGAGCAAATGTCACCAAGTGAGGGATTCAGCCACCGAGGGATGGCAGAATGGAGTTGCTCGTGCTGCTTTTGTGTCTTCTTTCTGTGTGCAGCAAGATGGGCTTTAGTTTCGGGATCGCCTGCTCTGTCTTTCTGCAGAAGCTCATCTTCATAAGATAAAGACTGACCTGGAGTTCAATTAGCTGACCTCCAGGAGTGAATCCCTCACTGCCCCTGCATGCTCTCCTCTCTGGGCTGCAGCCGTTTGGCTTGCAGGCTGCTCCCTGCAGGGTCGTTTCCTACTACTGCTGTGCTCTGTACTCTGTTTTCCCATGGTGCTGAGCAGCATGCAATCCAGCTATAATAAAAGATGGGGTTTTCCAACACAGTTATAATCTGGCCAGTTTGTTGGGTTGGATTTGCTGCTTAGGTTTTCTCTTTCCTGTTTTGGTGATGGTCCAAGCTTTCGAGTTCTGTGACAATAGGCAGAAGGTATTCCATTCAGCACCACTAAAAATCTTCCTTGTCCAGCAGCTTGCAGGCAGAGTTGGAGAGGTGTCTCAAGAGAGCATAGCTGGGCTGTGCCTACAGCGGTGCTGCAGCTGGGCCAGGTAGCTCACAACAGCAGGTTCCTTTTGTGCAGCATGGGATAGACCTTCAGAGGACACTAAATCCTCTGTGGCACAGTTTGGGAGCAATCTTGGACCACTCCCCATGGTGAAAACATGTCCTTTGTGAGAGCTATGGGAAAAGTTACTGTAAAGAAAGAAGAAAGGGCTTTTTTTTTATTTTTCCAGTATTCTACATTAAAACACCATGTCATTGAAAGCCATTCATTTCCTGGATGCTTCTGTTAATAATTATAATTACTAATAACTAAGCTAGAGGCAGATTAATTTCAGACTTCTACTGGGGATTTGGGTTTGAGGCTAAGGTCAGGCCAGGGCTCACAGTCAACAAACAGAATCTCAGAAACCATTTTTTTAATTATTCTTTTTTTACAAAAAATAACAGAAATACCCAAAGAGGAGTATTAATCAATTCAACATTGCATACGGTCTACTGCTTTTAGGGCATTTTTGCTGTTTGATTCAAAATATCACAGCCAGACTGGTCATATGAGTATTCATTTCCCTTTCTGGTCTCACTCTAGTATCAAAAGCAGACCAAGATCTGTTGGTGCATTTCTGCAGTCCTCCTCCTGCAGAAATTCAGGCAAGCTCAAACAAGACTGCTGTTTAAACCACCAATAATAACATTAACAGCTGAGTTTAAAGCAGCATTTATTATCTGAGAATATTTTATTGTGAAAGACATAACGTGATTTTAAAATAATATGCAAATCCAGACAAAGTGGGGTGCTTGTTTTCTGTCCATTAACTTGACTGTGTTACATATGACTATTCCAGGTTCCCAAATGATCTGCCCTGCAGTATCTAATGAAAGAGGAGGCAAGTTTTTCATCTGCAGAACATCTACCTTTATTCTCAGTTGTTTGATATTAAGCTAATCATTTTTCTTGTATTCCATCCCTTTAGAATAATGTTTCATGACACATTTGGGAGTGGAGTCTCTGGGCAGATGTGCTGTAAAGAAGGCCGCTGTTCTTTGTTTGGGATTGATCTTTCTTACAGGGCATACAGAAGAGAGAATTTTCCCATCATTCAGGAATGCAGTCAGCACCATCTCATGACAATCAGTATTTCAGTCCCTACTTGGTGGTAGTATTGGGATCTCTTGATGAATGCATTTTTTCAGGAAAATTCATTCCACTTGAGAGATGTGGAATGGAAGTTAATTTCCCTAAGAAATGCAAAATCAGCAAGCGATGGAAGTTTTAGTTTCATGTGATTCACCATCTGGGAAGTAAGTCATAATACACAGAACATGAAAAAAGAAAGACATGTATCTGATATTTATCTGAAAAAGTTGACATGAAGATAAGACAGTTAAGATCCATTGTTCTGATGGGAAGAAGAGTTTTATATTTTCAAAAAATCGCTCAATCACCTCTGCTGAGATTTGGGTAGGTAAGGATGTAACAACCTGTGAAGGCTGTTTGCCAAACACCTTGCTTGGCTACCCCTCCCCAGCCATCCAGTGTCATGGATTGCTGTGGGAATGAGCTGCCACAGGTCTCTGAGCATCTGGGTTCAGTAGAGCACCAAATGTGCCTTTTTTAGAGGTGCATTTGCTCCAAAATGTTTATCCTCAACACCTAAATTTGTTGTGAAAATGGCTTTGAGAAAGTGCTTCACAGCATGCTGCCCGTAGTGTGGGATGGCAGAAATCTGTGGTTCTGGTGAGTCTGCTGCCCCAGCAGTGCTGCTGGGTCCCAGCTGTGCGAGGTCACCGTCAGATGGTCTCCAGATACCCCTGTTGGCTGCTGGCCTCCATCACTGCCTGCTGCCAGGATCCTTGGGAAAGTCTTACTCAGAGATGGTTATCTTAAATAAAACCAACACATGGATGGAGCACTCTCTAGGTATGGAAAAAAAAGAAATAACACATGCACGACTCATCCTCTTCTTTAGTTTCACATGGAAATTTCCCCTTTTGTTTGCAACATATAAATGATTTGGGCTGCAATATTAAATGGAGGGTTTTGCAGCTCTCTGCTGGCTGCGGTCTCAGTGGTACCAGGAGGTAGTGCAGCCTGCCTGAGAGAAGATTTGAATCTTTCTGCTGTTTGGGCAAAAAAATCAAAAGGGAAGTTGCGTGTAGATAAATAT